TTTTTTTTTCTCCCATGTCCCCTGCGGGGCTCCGTAGAATTTTTAAAAATGACAGTAGGATTATTTTACCCTGCGATAGGCTGGCGACCTGTTCAGGGCGTACCCCACCCGTCACCCTATGACTGCTATGAGCTCCAGCACCTGCAGCCCTGAACTGAAATAGTTAAAAATCAATAACTGTCAGTAATAACATTCAGAAAACATAAAAATGTGAAAAAAGTAAAATAATAATTATGTTCTTATTAGCAACAAAACCCAGCGTAAGAAAATCTAAATAAGTCTGAATGTTCACTTTAAAGTCTCAGCCATCTTTAATAAGATGATTAGTATTTTCCATATTTATATACACAACTTACTTGAGAGAAACTTGACAGTAATTTGACTCTTAAAAAGTCGGGCGCTCCTCCTTCACTCCTCTGCTGAGGGTAATTTAGACCAGTTTGTCAAGCGCAGGATACTCTCATAAATGAGGAAGAGAGTCATTAAAGATGAGGATGTTAATTTCAGCATGGATGTAACCTTAATGTTCCAGTGCAGAATATAATGATGCTGAAGTGAGCGATTGTGCATAAAGGATGGGAGTAATTATTACTGGCTCTCTTACGCTTATGTATGCCCTTCCCAAAATAGCTGTGGTTGGAGTGGTGCTGGCGATAATGATGGTGCAACAGCAAAAAGCTAAACTCACAAAGAAGGATTGTTTGACTGTACCACAGCATTGCTGCCAGTACACAGTGCTTATCAGAGCTGCGGGAGTCGAGGAGCATCTATCATCTGAATAACAACGATGATGAGTGCGTTACTCATAGTTCACATGATGCACATATCCAAAGGCTTCCTTAACAAAAGAGAGACAGGTCACAGGAAAGTGTCATCGCAAACGAGTCGAGAGGGGAGGTCCGGACAAAGTGGCTGGGAACGGAGGAGGAGGGAAGATGGTCGAGGCACTCTTTAATCGTTCTTTGCCAGAAGAGGCTGGGGTGCCCAGGGGAGAGAGAAGATTACCAAGAGATCAATTCCAGCACATGGCTGGCTCTGCTGACATCTCAAGGTAGTGCGCTGCAGTGCCCCCCCGGGACACAGCTGCCAATACAGGCTGGCATTACTGCAGATTTACTGTGAAGGGGACTTCGAGAAAGGCCAGGGGAGGCTTTTGGTGAGAGTTAATAGCTAGAGGATTACATAAAATGTTAAAGTGTAACGAGGGTGGAACTGCCTGACTACGCTAATTTAAAGCTGCAAAGAGAAAAAAAAAGTTTCTCAAACCAAAATAATCTTCAAGTCCACTTTAACAGCATTTCCTGGGTTTTTATCCTCATGTCTCACCGTTCATCAGTGAAGAAACGTGTTGGTTCAGGTCTGGCAGAGCCTTTGGCTTTTGTAAACACATGAATTATGGAAAGAGAAGTCAACAACTGTGTGTGAGCCAGGACTACAAATTATTAATTGTTGCTATTCTCACCTGCAGTAATATACTGCAAAATTGGCTCCATGTTCTTTGTGCAGCAGGAAGGCCATGACATCAGGACATAACAGCAGGTATCAATGAAAACAGATAAGAGATTACGTCAGGCACAGCCTCATATTACAGTAAAATCAACAATTAATGTAAAAATATAATCTTTATGATGTTGCATAAATACGTCTTTACTATAAAGTAACTGTTGATGCCAATTTTCATGTAATAACATCACATGAAAGCACAGGTTTGCTCAGCCAGCGTGTCCCACACTTAGTTTCTACACATTCTTCAGCTCTGATCAAATGTTCTGATTTTCTGTGGATCAACTGCTTTGTTCTTAGTCCCCCTTTGAACCGTCCTTATTTAAAAGAATCCAGGAAATTCCTCTGATGTGTTGTTGTAAATGTGACAACCTCTCAGCGTGTGTGCAGTCTGCTCATGCTCCAAACCTATAATAAAGAGTGAACAGCCTCTGTTTAAGCAATGGAGCGTGCGCTGTGCACGGTCACATGACTCTCCAGAGGTAGGCGTCTTTCCTTGTAAAGCCATCAGCAGATTGCATCTACACCAGCAGTCTCCCAGTTATTATTGTACACCAAAACATTTTAGTGGATCAGCGTTTAGTTTTAATGTAAAAATATCATCTTTATGATGTTGCATAAATAGTTTTAGTGACCTCCTGACCCAGTAAGAACCTTCCAGATCCCTCAGGTCATCTGGATCCGGTCTTTTATCAGTTCTCAGAGTCAGAACCAGACACGGAGAAGCTGCATTCAGCTTTTATGCTCCTTATATCTGGAACAAACTCCCAGAAAGCCTCAGATCAGCTGAAACACTCAGTTTATTTAAATCCAGGTTGAAGACTCACCTGTTCTTGGCTGTATTTGAATAAAACACCAAATCAAAACTTTTAAGCTTAAATTTCAAAACTTACATTTTAACTACTGATTTTA